GTCCGAGATGGACCCGAGATGGACCCGAGATGGAGTCCGAGATGGAGTCCGAGATGGAGTCCGAAGTCAAGACCGAGACCGGGACCGAGACCGAGACTGAGACTGAGACCGAGATCGGGACCGAGACCGAGACCGAGGCCGAGGCCGAGACCGAGCCCGAGCCCGAGTCCGAGTCCGAGTCCGAGTCCGAGTCCAAGTCCGAGTCCGGAGCCTGAGAGGGTGAAAGCCCAAAGCGTTCGTCTCCCAGACCCTGGGGGGTTTGGTGAGCTCCAAAAGTATAGTAGGGGGAGGACTGCAGTGGAGCCAGTTTGGCCAGGAAGGGCCAGTTTGGCCCAGGAAGGCCGGACCCAGTGTTGGGTGATGAGCTGCCCACTGGGAAGTCCAAGACTAGAGTGAACACAGACCGACAAGCGGGGTAGCTTGGTGAAGTGTTCAAGAGCCGGCTCTAGTTCCCCCGGGAGATCGACTGGCCGATGCTCCCAGTCCAAGTGTGGGTGGCACTACCTACTTGGATACCTGGTGTGGCTCAACGGAACCCGCTCTAAGCCCATGGCTAGAGCACCCAAGGGCAGAAGACGAGGAGAGTACCCAGGTGGCTCGCGTAAGGCCACGGTGTTCCGAAATGTTGTCCCAAAGGCCCAGACTGTAGAAAGGAAGAGGAGCAGTCCTCTAGGGTAGTGACCAAGGACACAGTCGTGTGGTGAGGAAGTCCCAGAGGACCGTGGGACTTAGTGGTCGGGCCTGTGGGTCTCGATCCAGTGGCAGTGTTGGCAAACACGGCCAGGGGCAGAAAGGGACTTAGTGGGGACTGACAGAGGGATATTGGGGAAGGCTATTCCCCCTGTCGGTGGGCACCCTAAGGATGCTAAGGAGTGGATCTGAGATGACCACTCACGGAAGGTTTGTCTAGTCTTGGAGAGCCAAGACGGTGATGCAAGTGGTATTGGACTACCAGTGTGGCAAAGGTGATTGGGCATAGCCTTAGCGTAACGGGCTGCTATGTCGGTGGTACCTTTGAGCGTCGGTCATGGGATCGGACACGTGGAGCACTTGGACCAAGTGCAAATGTTGAGTGGCATGGATGCCATTCTCGGGGCTAGCAAGTCCCAAGTCCTGGGTTGGACTTATGGAGGTTGCGAATGAGACTCCTCCAAGTGGTCAGAGGTGTGGTTAAGTGACTAAAGTAGAATGGAAAATTTAGTCGCTTACAGCTTTCACCCTCTTAGACTCGAACTTGGACTCGGATTCGGACTCGAATTCGGACTCGGACTCAGACTCGGACTCGGACTCGGTCTCGGCCTCGGCCTCGGTCTCGGCCTCGGTCTCGGTCTCGGTCCCGGTCTTGGTCCCGGTCTTGGTCCCGGTCTCAATCTCGACTTCGAACTCCATCTCGACTTCGAACTCCATCTCGGGTCCATCTCGGACTCCACCTCAGACTCCATCTCGGGTCCATCTCGGACTCCATCTCGGACTCCATCTCGGACTCCATCTCAGGTCCATCTCGGACTCCACCTCGGGTCCATCTCGGACTCCACCTCAGGTCCATCTCGGACTCCATCTCGGGTCCATCTCAGACTCCATCTCGGACTCCACCTCGGGTCCATCTCGGACTCCATCTCGGGTCCGTTTTGGGTCCATCTCGGACTCCGTCTCGGGTCCGTCTCGGACTCAATCTCGAATCCATCTTGGGTCCACCTCGAACTTCACCTCGGACTCCAACCTCGGACTCCATCTCGGGGTCCTCTCGGACTCCACTTCGGACTCCAACGCAAGTCCATCTCGGGTCCATCTCGAACACTTCCACGTGTCATGTATTAGTCCTTTTGGGTCCCTTTTTGGATCCTCGCTTATTGCTCGCTTCATACTCATTCCTCGAGCACTTCGTTGGGAGTTCCACTCCCACTCTCAACCTTTTCAAGTCGGAGCTTTTAGTCCAAACGTGTTACGCTCGTTTGGCTTTCACTTCGGCCACTACCACATGGCACCCTTTCGGCTCCACTTTTGAGCCTAGGGATTTTGTGTCTCACAATATTGCATTTTCCACTTTTTGTTGCACATCCTTTAGCTCCACTTCCTATAGAAGATATATATGCCACAAATTTTTCCTTTCTAATTTACTAACTTACTTTATTTATCTGACCACCACGGCCTTGGTGTTCATCAAATTCCCTTGTCAAAGTTCCCACATATTGTACCAGTTCTTACTTGGTCCTATGTGGTTTTAACAACTCACTACACAAGCAATAGAGCGTTAATCATCCATCCATGGATTCCTAAATTCTCTCTTAATCCCCCTCCTTAGGTTAGACTAAATTTAAGGTTCAATTACACTCCCCACAAATACACCAAACTTCCAAGTTCCTAACATCCTTTGGTATAACAAGGCTTGATCATGGGACTCTCTAAATCCCAAGCCTTGGGTGCAACACTTGCTTTAGGACACTAGGGGAAACACTATGGCTTAATGGCCCAATATAGATACTCCTACTCCCCCACTTCTATCCCGAAGGGAAAGCCCAATCCCTTAGGAAGGGCAAAGACTAATGAGCCGTAAGATACTCAAGTGGGGCACCACTCTACATGAGTTGGGAGCACCACAGTCAGTTTCCCTTCCAAGAGTAGATGTTGCTTTTGAACACTTCCTTAAGTGGCCCCTCTAGCACCACTTGAGTCCATCCTCACTCCCACCCAATGCCCCTAAGCCCCAATTTCAACCTCAAGTCAATTTGAAAGCACCATTGGAGAGTTTCTTCGAGACTAATTCTTGGACTTCACTATCCCTACTATATTTTTGGAACCCCTTGCAGCCCCTCCCCCCTTGGGAGATACAGGCTTTGTGCTTTCACCCCATGATCTGTATTAGTATTCGAACTCGATCTTGGACTCAGTTTTGAACCCAATTTCGCATCTCAGACTCAGTCTCGAATTTGGTCTTGGACTCAGTCTTAAATTTGGTCTTAGAGTTGGTTTTGGACTCGATCTCGGACTTAGTCTGTAACTAAGTCTTATAATCGGTCTTGGACTTAATCTTGGATTTGGTCTCATCCGATGAACTTTTTAACATTTCGGTCGTGCTTTTTAGAGATTTTTTAACCTACGACACATTGGGGAGTTGGTTGTTTATAGCAATGTGATATTATCTGGTATGTGCATAATTATGTTTGGTGCTAAGCTCATAATACTCCCCCTTGTGCTACAAAAGGATGGATAGAGTTAATTGTAGTTTCCTATTCATTTAAGTTGGTGGCATTTGATTGGATGGAGCATTTTTCACAATCAACTACTGGCAATGAGTATATTATTATTGCTTATAACTATTTAACTCATAGGGTGGAAGTATGTGCTTTTATTAACATGTTTGCAACTACTATTGGATACTTCCTTCTCAATTGAGTAAAATTCCTATTTAGATAATGATCCCGCATTTATAGCTAAAGCATTTTATGTTTTGACATCTTGGTTGGGGATACACCACACTTTCACAAGTGGTTATCATCCATAATCAAACAGTTTGATGAAATGACTTGTTTGGACCTTCAAAAGGATGATTGTGAAATACATAAATTTTCAATATTCAAATTGGGATGGTTATTTTGCATCTCTTCGGTGTATATATGTCATAGGGGTGTAGAGTTTTATTGATGCTTTACCATATAAACTCCTATATGATTATAATCCAATACTACCAATAGAGTTGGGTTTACCTTTATGATTGTTATGAGTTACCAATGCTAAGTCATGATTAATATTTGAGAAATATTTTTCCACTTGTCCAAATAGAGTTTGCCGAACACTTAGGTTGTATACAAGTGGAATAACAACGACACTATAACTATTGTCCACATGTAGAGTACAAAATGGATGATTTGGTATTAGTTTATTTTCTGAATCTTACAATATATATTTATTTAAAAGGCTTTTTGCTCAGTGGAAAGGACCATATTGAGTGTTGCGGCAAATTGGACTACCAGTTTATGAGGTTTGGCATGACATCTAACAAGCTAATCCTCTAGAATTATACATGTGCAACAAGAGAAATGTTTTATACAAAGAAATTAGGAATAATTGGCACCACTTATAGATACACCAATACCTCCTCCTAATGTCTTTTAAAATCTCAACCCATCCAGAAAAGAATCTTGATGGTCTTTCATTATTCCAAGACGAAGTGATGATGTATAGTTCAAATATATAGCTACAATGCTATATACTAATATTCATATAGTGGGATTTTGGTGGTTATTGGATTTGTTTCAATTTGGACCACTCCCTTTTATATATAAGTTAAGGTTTTTGGGTTAATTAATATACACATTTCTGTATTCCATTTCCATATTCCATGCACTCACACCATCTTTATAATTATAATGTTAGTATGTCAACATTTAAGAAATAATTTTGATGAGTTATATTATATTTGATTCTTATATAAAGCAAATAAAAAAATTTATTTATCATAGTATATATAATTTTACTTATGTCTTTGTATTTTACCAATTATTAATCCTGTATAGGTTATATTATATTTGAGTCTTCTAAAAATAATAATGTGAGGGCCAAGTGTACGGTTACGATGCCGTATACTAATATTAGCGTAGTGGGATTTTGGTAGCCATCATATTGGTTTCAATGCGGACCACTCGCTCCTGTATATAAACTAGGGTTTTTGGGCTAATTGAAATGCACATTTCTGTATTCCTGTTCCATATTCCATGCACTCACAATAACAAATTTTACTTATTATAACACATATAATTTTATATATCTTTTTGCATTTTAGCAATTATTAATCCTGTATAAACATCAATCTTCACATATAACATTTTAAACTAAAAGGATATAAAATATTGACTTTAAATGTTTTCATATGAAAACTTCCTTTTGATTATAAAAAATGAAAAAATAATAAATCTTGCCAAAATGGTATAATTTGGCTTGGCAAGTTACATTTCCTTGTATCAAGGAAGAAAAGGAAGATGAAGAATCTCTCAAAATCTCGCCCTTCGAAACCTGTTCTTGAGCCAACCGATTACACCACCACCCCTGGACAACGAACAAGACGAAGACTTTCGCCGCTGCTCCTCCCTGTGGCTGCCACTCCTGTTCATCACCGTCGAAGACTTTGCACTGCTGCGATGGTGGTGGCCTTGGTGATCGTCGTCGCTGTCCAGAACCATGATCGTCTTCTTTGTGATCCCATCGCCCTTGCCGCCCCTGGTGTTGCTACTGCTAAATCTCTGCGCCGGCTCCACCGCGTTGTTGAGGCCCAGCGAGTCGGCCCAGCTCCGCCCCGACGATCCCTGCCTCCTGATCGACACCCCCCGGCTGAGAGAAGCCATTGATGGACGTCGATTGGTGGTGAATGGTTCTTCTTACGATGTTGTTGCGGTCGTGATCTTGGCGGTGATGGTACTGCCCTGCGAATCCGATTAAAGTAAAGCCAGATTCACGAGAAAACAGAAGGAACACAAAGCCGATCACATTTCATGTTTTCTACGAAGAAATGAGTTCTCTCCAAGAAGCCAGTTTAGATCACAAGAGAGGAAGTGGAGTCTAGGAGACAACAGAGAAAACGTGTAAAAACAAACTTCTATCACTGGAACGCATCCAACACAGAGAGCTAAACGAACACTCCCACGGTACCTGACAGTGAAAGCAAATCCTGAGCGCGAATTTAAATCGGCACAATCGCTGCCATCGCCGCTGCCAGACTAGAAGACACACATCGGGATAATTTCCTCTATACTGGAACTTCAGGCATAGAACCCTATTTTCTCGACCCAGAAAGCCGCCACCGCCACCGCGCTAGCTCGAATCCTCGCTTGTCGCTCGCCGCAAAGCAAGAGAGGCATTCTATAGATTGCCGCAAAGCAAGAGAGGCTAGTCTAGATTTAAGGGCATTGTCCTCGCTGTTGCGCGTAAGTCCCGGTCTAAAGCGACTGGGTGTTGCGTTGCATGTCAAACACCATTGTCGATGGCGGGCTTGTCGTGGAGCTATGCTGACTTGCAAGGTGAACGCATTGAGGAAGGTGGGACGCAATGTGGATGTGCCGGAGTGGTTATCGGGCATGACTCGAAATCATGTGGGCTCTGCCCGCGCAGGTTCGAATCCTGCCATCCACGTATATCTTGCCATTCCCTTTTTTTTGCTCCAATTGTTGCTTCTTCCATGTCCCTTGCTAGTGGCAATGGCCTGCGAGCTTGGTTTCGTTCTTCCTGGTGTTTTCTTTCGCGTTCTACAGCATGGAGTCTAATCAAAGCAAAGATCATGAGTGTTTACGTGGGCGATTCATGAAGAGAAGCGGGAAATCTTCGCGATCGTCTTGCCTCCACCACCATCGCGAAGTCCTCGGTTTCTTCACTGGGAAGAGGTGGTGCCTTGAGAGTGGTCTACGATTTTGATGTCTTTCTTTTCAGATTCTAATGTGTTCTACAATTTAGACGCTTTTCTCGAAGAGATTCTTCCTTTGAGCCAGCCAAGAACACGAGACTTCTAGCCTCCAGCACCTCGCAATGCACCATCCTGCGTGCTCCATGGCGAAAGCATGGCTGGATCCTCACCATTCGTGATATCCGAGAGTCGCCCCCGCGGCTTGATTGATCCTGGAGTTTTTGTGGAACATCCCTTGCTCTGTAAACGTCCAGATCTTTGCCGGAAGATCCGAACATCCCTGCCTTCGACACGAGCCCCTCTCTTGAGCGTCGCCGAATTCCAACAAGAAATTGTGTCAAAAGCGATGAGATTCTAACCCCGCGAGAAACGATTGAGTTTCTATCGGAGGATCTACCGCTTGACTTAATCACGTCAATCGTTTGACCAGATCGTAAACTACGGCCACGAGATATCTTCACAATGTCTGTTGCCACGTCAAATCTTGCAAGGCCAGAGTGGTTATCGGGCAATCATGCGAGCTTCGCTCGCGCAGGTTCGAATCGTGCCATTCACGGAAGGAAGCTGTTTTGTTGACCTTGTTTTTACTGGCATGTGAGGCGTCTTGTTTGGCTTGCCAGGCTTTTGTCGACCAAATGCTGGAGAATCTTCCAACCATCCAGTCTAGCACGAACACACATTTGTATTTACATGGATTTGATTTTACTCTCTGATAGCAACATGGTACTTGTGAAGATCACTCCAAGAGCTCCACAAGCGAAAAGATCTCTGATCTAAGTTCTAGAGATCTTTCTCATCCTCCCCTTGATCCAGCCAAGAACACCGTGATGAGATCTCTGGTGGAGATCGGTGGCGCCACCATCGAAGTCCCCTGGCGATCCCAACGCCGCCGATGCTCCTCCGGCCCCATGAGATCCTCCTCCAGTGCCGGACGAGCTGTGGTTGAGAGTGGAGGGATGAGACGAGGTCTCGTGATTGATGATCTCGCCGCCTTGTGCCCCGGATCCCAGCGCCCGAGACGTCTGGAACATCCCTTCCTCCGTGAATGCGCAGTTCTCGGCCCAGCTCAACCCCGACGATCCTTGCCTCCGGAAAGACACCCCTCGCTTGAGCGTCGCCATGGAAGACCCAAAGCAAAATAGCCACGAGAATGCTATAGTACAATGTAGATATTGATGAGATCGAACTAAGATCAAGCTAGGGACAGAGATCGGAAAGCCATGAGTACAACAATGAAACAAAGATCTTGTCTTCTTTTATAGCAAAACCATGTATTGACGGTCAATGAAAGTATATTCGATATGTTCGTAAAGTTAACCTAGTGGGAGTAAAATGTGTTTGTGCATGTAGTTGACTGCAAGTTGTGGATGTGCCGGAGTGGTTATCGGGCATGACTCGAAATCATGTGGGCTTTGCCCGCGCAGGTTCGAATCCTGCCATCCACGTTTTTCATTTTTTCTGCTTTGTATTTCTTCGATCTTGCTAAATTTTTTCATCTTTTTGATTCTAACGTTCCCGCAATGTGTTCTACGATTTAGATGCCTTTCTCGAAGAGATTCTTCCCTTGAGCCAGCCAAGAATGCTCCGGGATCGCGATTTCTGGCCTCCAGCGCCATCGCAATCCACCATCGCGTCCGCGCTGCGAAATTGGAGATGCTTCATCGATCCTCCCCCGTGGCCAGTGCTAGCGCTGCGACCAAGCGTGGCAGGATGCTCACGATTTGTGATCATCTGATCGCCCCTCGCAATTGCAGCTTTGGATTGATTGTGGAACATCCCCTCCTCTGTAAACGTCCAGTTCTCCGCCCAGCTCAATCCCGAAGATCCCTGCCTCCGAAACGAGACGCCTCTCTTGAGCGTCGCCATGGGGAAACAAATCCAGCAAAAATTTCTGTCAAGAACGATGAGATTTCGGCAGGAATCGCTAGAAAAGATGGAGTTTCTGAGGGAGGAAGCGAAGAACCCTACCGAAGAAAGCAATGGATCGCGCTCTCGTATTTGTTATAGCAGCCTACGTGGCACTATAGCAGGCATGGCACGATGACGAATATAGAGTGATATAATCACGTCAAGCGTAGCTTGTTTCCATCGTCCAATTCAATGAACGTTTGTTGTTGAGGGTCATGGATGTCGAGCACCATGCTAGAGATTTTCTTTTAGATTTTTGTTGTATGGAACTGGTAGTTGATAGTGTGGTGGTTCCTGTGACTAGATTTAAAGTCATTTCAAGCCTGCCAAACTCATGATTGGTATGAGCATATTCCTGATTTTTAATGGTTATGTATAATCTAAATTAAGCTCCAATAATCATTGAACTAGGTAATAATTAAATTTATAATGTGATGTCGTTGTAGTATAGTGGTGAGTATTTCCGCCTGTCACGCGGACGACCCGGGTTCGATCCCCGGCAACGGCGCAAATATTTTTTTTCTTTAGTAGATTCAGTATGCTTATTACGATATTTAGGGTTTAAATGATTGACAGACTACTCAGAGCGCGCCCAGAGAAATTCGGGTCAATTGTGGACAATGCGGCTGATTTCCGATTCCAGGTACAATTTTCCGAGGTTGCCGAGGACGAGATCGGCACTCCCTGCCTTGTTCGCCATGGATTCCGTGCTGGATCCGAGTATTTCTATCCAGCCAGGTATAAGTTCTTGTTTTCTTATTGTGAGATCTTGTTTAAATGGATGTTTTGCAGTGCTATAAAATTCTGTGGAGTGATAGCAGCATTGCTAAAACTCGGACGCGTCAGGGAGACTATGGGTTCGCCATACTCTTTCTTGTTAGCACTTGAAACTTTTTTTTGTTGATTTTCCACAGGACCTGGGATTTCCTGTTCTAGTGCTCTCCAGTTTTATCCTTTAAACGAAGGAGGACTTTTGGAGCAATATGATGCGAGCAATCTGGATGGCCAAAGGATCACTGTTGCTCATGAGCTTCGAAAGCTATTCCTGGTATTCGTTTCTTTGGATATATCTTTCATTTCATCCTTCTCATATAAATGTGTTGTTGACAGGCCTCGGACAATCGAGCTTTCAATCGGCTGTATGATTTTGTTGGCCACCGCTGGCTGAACGAGACAATGTGAGCGTTTTCAAGCAGCAGCATGACAAAAGAAAAAAAAACACACAAACAACTTTCGGATACACTGTAGGTGGCACGCAAATCTTCCCAGCGCAAGGCTTCGCCATCACCTCGCAGGAAATTTCTCGTCGTCCAGTGGCATGAACATTACTTGCAGACCGGTTGGATTCGAAGAGCGCGCTGCTGTTCCTCCGAAACGGAGTGGTCTAACTCTGCCAGGAAACACTCCCTCGCAGGGACTGCAAGTAGGGAACGCTTACATCGCAGATGGAAGCTTGGTAACTATTCATCCATTCTCTTCTTTCCGATCGGAAAACTCTTCTAAGAAATGACTTGCCAGGTGAACGAGCCCATGGATTTCTCCGGGAAGAACTCCATCAGCCTTCTCGACCTCCAAAACCTCTTGATCAAAGTCACCCGACCGGACATCCACGTAAGTTTGCGTCTGTAAAATCAGTTTATATATCGCTCACGCTTTGGCTGCTGTATGAATGAAGTTAGATAATTCTCCTCTCGATCTGGACGAGGAAACATCAAAGCTGCTAATGGAAGCAATGTCTCAGTATCCAGCCGAGTCCTCCAATCCTCAGTACTATCACTACCCGGACGATTTTTGCAAGGTGAAGAACCATCTTATCTAGTTTGATCGTCTCATCGCAAAGAGTTCCTTGCAGCTGTTCTTGCCGGGGCTATGCCGGGTGCGCAGCAAAGGAGCTCTGCGGATTTACAACAAAGTTGGCCAGGCATTTGGCTTCACAACCGAGAACGCGTAAGCAGCTCTTGCGATGGTTTTCCTAGTTTCGCGAAATCCTTCTCTCGCAGCTATGTCGTCGACGTAGAAACCGGGAGGAGCTTCTTCCTGGCCGCAACGATCTATACAAACGCAAACGGGGTTGTCAACGATGATCGCTACGAGTATGGCATTGCAGAGACGGTGATGGCGGATCTCGCCGAAGAGATCGCTCGAGCAGTGTGGCAAATCCCGCCAGAGATCGTCAATCTGGATTGCACGCCATCAAGGCAGCAGCAGCGCGAAAAGATCGAGTCAAATGCTCGGCAAACGAGCCAAGCGACAGAGAAACCGCGAGATCTTCCATGCAAGTTGGAAGATCCAGCGAAATTCTCGTCGCGCGCGGCGAAATCTTCGTATGTTTACTTTGTCGATGAGTAACGCTCAAATTTTCATCTTGGCGGGCCTAGGTTTAGGGTTTATGCGATGAGCATCGATAGGGGATTGCTCCTGCGCATCCGGGAGTACGCCAGCAACGGCGATCTCCATCTCGGCCTCTCCGACTCGCGCATCGCAGCGCTGGTGGAGCGCCTCCGCGTGGATCATGCCGAGTACCGCCGCAAGAGGTATGATCCCTTCTGCGTCTTCGTCATCCGCCATGTCAATCACATTCTCGCCGGCGCCGCCTCGCAGCAAGCTAGGAAGAGGAAGAGGGCTGAGCTTGTCGGCCAGGGCAGTGATCTTCTCAATCGGGGATTGCGTGCTTCTTACAAGGGGAATAATGAGAAGGAGCTAGAGAATAGCAAAGAGCCACCAAAATGTGGCTTGGAAAAGAAAGAAGGGGAAGAAGAAGCTATCGACAAAGGTGGTAGTGTGGCAGCAGCAGCAGCAGCAGTGACTCCCGAGAATGTGAAGTTTGAGAATTTTGGGGGACTCGAGGAGAGGGTGCTGGAGCCGATTTACCGCTGCATCTATCGTCTTCGCAATCCGCATTCTTTTCCTCGACAGAAAAGTGTGAGCGGAATTCTCTTGCACGGTCCGCCGGGATGTGGGAAAACTTTACTGGCTTACGCGATCGCAAACGAGGCAGAGGTTCCGATTCGCAAAGTAGCACCAGCCGAGCTTTCTTCCGGTGCAGGTAAGTTGTTTTCAAGTTATGCTCACTGTCTTAAGCGTTTCTTTGGTCTTTTTTTCCGCAGCTATCAGGTCCATCTTCGCAGATGTGGCTACTCTTGCGAGATGCGTGTTGCTTCTGGACGAGATCGATGCGGTTGCTATGAAACGAGATGCCGCGAGGAAGGATGTGGATAGCCGAAGCTTGACGCAGTTGATGACATGCATAGACGGGCTGAATCACTTGTGGGACGCGAGCAGGCAGTGTGCTGGACATGTTATCATAGTAGGGACGACAAACCGGCTGGAAGATATTGATCCAGCTCTCAGACGCTCTGGCAGGCTCACCATAGAGATCGCTCTCAATGCACCCGACGAGCAGGCCAGGAAACAGATGCTTTCGGTGCTGACTCGCGACACACTTATAGAAGGCTCCCGGGACTTCACTGGAGTGGCGAAAAGAACCAGAGGCTTTGTTGCAGCGGATCTTTTCGAGCTGACACAGCAGGCATCATTCATAGCGGAACAGCGGAGGAATTCAAGCCTTCGTAGTGCAGACGACAAAGAACCGTGGTGGAAGTTTGTCAATACGATGAAAGAGGAGCCGGCCACTGTGATGGAGGATTATGAGGTGAGAAGTTCTGGTTTACGTTCTTTTCCCCAGCTTTTGATAGCTTTTGTCTCCAACAGGCTGCTGTATCTCAAGTTCAAGGTTCTATGACACGGGAAGGCTTTTCATCTCGTCCTAGCGTCAGTTGGGAAGACGTTGGAGGTCTCAACAAGGTTGTTGAAGAGCTCAAGAGCTGCATTTCAAGATGTATCACGCCCTCGGAAATGTGTAAGGTACGTATCAAGGTCCAGTTGTTTTTCGAAAGTAAACGATTTTCTTTCGTCCTTGAAGAAACTCGGAGTGCGCACCTCGGCTGGATTCTTACTGCACGGGCCTCCTGGCTGTGGCAAAACACTGATTGCAAAGGCAGCGGCAAGCTATGCCGAAGCAAACTTCATAAGTGTCAAGGTAAAGATCCTGTGCTAGCTCGAGAGTTAGATGCCACATTGTCTGTTTTAGGGGCCTGAGCTATTACGCAAGTATCTTGGAGACAGCGAAGAACAAGTCCGTATACTCTTTAGGCGCGCTCGAGAGTGCAGTCCGTGTGTTATCTGCCTTGATGAGGTAAGTTTCCAGTTTCGTTTGTTCCAACGTTCAAGCAAACGTTTGTCCAGGTGGATTCTTTGTGTCCAAAACGAGGGACTGATGGAAACACCGCTGTGGATCGTGTTGTGAACCAATTTTTGGTGGAGATGGATGGTTTGCAAGAGTTGAATGGTGTGATTGTCATTGCTACTACGAACAGGTGACAAGCAGCTCTACTCTATACCAATTAGAGTTTGTATGTAACCTTTTTTGCTTTATGTGCTTTTCAAGGATTGAGGCAGTGGACGAGGCTTTCCTTCGTCCAGGACGGCTTGGCCACCATGTCCGAATTCCTCTTCCCGATGAAGAGGCTCGCGTGTCCATACTGAAAGCTCTCACGCACAAGAGGCCTTTGGCAGCTGGAGTTGATCTGGCCAAGCTCGCAACATCAGCTCAGCTCGAAGGCTTGAGCGGGAGTCATCTCTCCGAGCTCGTGAGTTCTCTGGTTTTGCTTCTTGGATTTCAAGTTGATGGGAAAACTCTTGTGTGTTTCTTTCAGGTTGAGCAAGCTTGCATCGCGGCCGTGGAGGAAGGCACGGCTGAAATCTGCCAGCATCACTTCGAGACGGCGCGCGAGAAATTGGGGAAGCGTTTAGCCAGAGTTCCAAGCGTCGATAATAATCGAAGGTGTTCCCACGGTTCGACAGTCGTGACGGCACCATGACCAATAGCGCGTCTCAAAATGTTTTTCGGCCACTAGGTACTGAAAGAGTTTTGTAACGCTGGCCGTGCATTGTCTCGTTGAATTTACATTTCTTTTGAGCGAGCTAAACTACCAATTGGTCCTGCATAACCAGCCAAGGCATCAGTTTGTGTCGCTCGCAATTCGTCACAGCTTACCATCTTCACTGGATGAGAAACCAATCTACTGGCAGGTCTCGAAGAAGGGCCTGCATGAAGTGCTTGCGCTGGAGCATGGGACGCCCTGGGCCTCCTGTCCCGAGTTGTTTCTGAGCTTGAAATTCCCGTAGGCATATTTCCGAGGCGTCGCTGGTCTGCACAACGAAGGTTTCGTAAAAGCTTTCGTAAATCAGAGGACGAGCACAGTTAACGTACCAGCCTCCTCAAGTCCGAATATGTCAACTTCTCGGTCAGCTCTGCAATTCGCTGGAAGTCCACGTCGTCCGCAACAGATTTGTTGGTCAAGAGAGTCCGCAGCATGACTTCCCTGCCAGTCTCTTCAGGCAGCTGGAACTCCAGCGTTTTCGTGGCGTCCTGGAGCTCCTCAGCCTGCCTAGTTTAGTCGAAGCCAAAACAGTTTGGAGTGTTAGAAGCTAGAACAAGCACTGTCCGAGAGCTAGAACTCACTTTTTCGCAGCCATTATGACACGGACGTGATCACTCGCCAAGAGCGTTTTCACCACTTCAACCAGCTTGTCCCAGTCCTTCTCTGCGATCAGCTCTTCGGTCTCATCGAAATACACGAGTGTCGGTTCTGCTGCCTTTGCCAGGCTAAACAGCTTTTCGATCGAGTCCGGTCCTCGCATCATGAGTCGTCGTCCCTGGAACCACGAAAAGCTTAACAAAGAGCGAAGAAAACAAGGACGGAAAGAACTGAAAAGAACCTCCACATAGACGAAGTTGAGGCGAGCTTCATGGCAAGCAGCTTTGGTCACCGTTCTTTTCCCGCAGCCAGATGGACCACAAAGAAGCAAATAGCCCGACTGCAACAAAGAGTCGAGACACAGATAAGTCACCTCGAAAGTTCCAGTGAGAAAGGATGTGATCTCGCTGCGAAGAATTGTAGGCGCGTAGACCAAATCCCAGCCGATTGTCGGTATTCCTTCGAATCCAACCTCTCTGGACGAACGAGGCACCCTAAACTTCGTGATTTTGCGAAAGATTTCGAGTAAAGATTGCTCATCTCGATCAAAATCAGCCAATTTACCATGAAATCTTCGGTCCTCACGAACATGAGTTGCAGATCGGCCTCATGGAACCTCTGGCGGAGGCTGCCCCCATGCGCTTCCATATGCGCTCCAACGTTCCTAGCTACAGCACGCAAACCTGCCTCCTTGCACAGCTTCTTGAGCTCTTCCGCATTGTAGCCCGCGGTGGCGATCACTGCCGCATCGACGCTGAAATCCGGCGAAATCCTCATGGGCTGCACGATCAGCGCCTCGATCACTTGCCCCCTCGCCTTGGCGGAGAGAAGCTCTTCGTCGGGAGCGTCCATGTCGAAAACAAGGGCAAAATTTTGAGCGGGAATGCCTCACAACAACGAATAGAACGATGCCGCGTGGAAGATTTTAAATAGAAGAGTTAGATTAAACGGTTTTCTACTGTAAACTGAGGGGATTCTTCCTGGAAATCCATTCTAGCGACAACTTTGCCATCTCGTGGACATTATTACGTGGGAAGCGCACGGGGTGTTTGATCTCTTAGAGCATTCGGATCTGGAATGGCTCCTGTGCATTTTCCTTGTGGATATACAAACAATGACGTGGACACCAAGTGTTAATTTACTCAAAATGTAATGCAAAGACATATATATATATACATATACATATATATGTGTGTGAATATTACAAACCTTCCCCTTTGAAAGAAGTAAAGTACTTTACCCTTATCTGAAGAAAATAAGGTAAATAAAAGAAAATAAGAAAAAATTAAGGAAAAAATAAAGAAAAATTAGCAATTGTCAAAGCATAAATAGGGAAATAAGAAGGAGGCTTCTTATTTTAAAAGACTCTATAAAATAAAATGCCAAATAATAGTATAAAGTATTTCGGCCAATACAAGATAAGTAAAAAGATTTACATCATTCAACTTGTTCAACACATAACTCAACATTTAAGAAAAAACAATCAAAGACTTTGCTAACAAAATAAAAGCAAAACTCTCAACTTAAACACACCTTACATTTAAATTAGTATGAGGAGAATGTAATCTCTTAGATATTTAGGGTTAAAAGTTTATAGAGTTCAAAATTTAAAGACCCTTAAAGAAAGGGGGTGCATTGTTGTTTATGAATTCTTTTCCTTTATATTTGAATTTGAATTGATTATTTTTTAATTTGTTCTTTTTAGTTATTTATAAAGTACATAAACACTCAATTCAACATTGAATTAAGAATAGAATCACAAAAGACAAAATTGGTTAAGATGCTAGAAGAAGAAAATGCTGCAAATAAAAAAGAAATATTATGAATTTGCAGGAAAGGTTGGGAGATTAAAAAAAGGATAAGAAAGAGCAAAAGACAAAGTAAAAGAATTATATGGTTGATTAAAGGATTGACATCTACCTTGTGAAATCTTTAATTGATCTTCAAAGCTATCATCAAAATAATTAAATTCTTTATTAGCAAGAGTTCACTCAAATTTGTAAATATTGTCTTCCTATTCAATCTAAACATCCTCTAAAAATCTGATTACATCATTTATAACTCTGTAATCAATGTTTTAATCACAATCGCAAAATCAGAAAACACTAAAAATAGGAAAAAAAATATATAATCACATTCCATGGAAACTAAAGATAACAAAACATCAAAAATTGAAATAGTATCAACAAAATCATGCCACACAAACACTAAAAGCTTGATTTGAAAAGAATTCATTTGCAAGAACAATTGCCAAATGGCAACAATGATGTATTAACTACAACCTCCAATCATACACTCTTTAATTGAACACTGCATAGTATGGCAGAAGAAAAAAATGCAATGAAGATCAAAGGAAAAATAGATAAATAATTATAAATCTTCAATCTGGCAAAAAACTAATATAGGTTTAGATCAAGGGATAAGAATAAATCACAATTCGTAATACTAAGTACTTTTCAGAGATTATCTTCAACACCACTTACCTTCACCTGAATTGAATAAATATTTTAATTAGGTGGGGTTTAGACCCGTCCATATATATAGTAATGGATAGACCAAATTTAATCTCACCAACTATATTATTATAATTAGCATGTTTACTAGCAATTTAATGGTAAACTTTTGCTAAACTATGATTGCAAAGGCAGCGGTGTGTCAAGGTAAAGATGCCGTGCTAGCTTGAGATTTCAAGGGCCTGAGCTATTAGGCAAGTATCTTCAAGACAGCGAAGAACACTCTTTAGGCCTTTGTGTTATCTGCCTTGATGAGGTAAGCCTCCAGTTTCGTTTGTTCCGACGCTCAAGCAAACGTTTATCCAGGAGGATTCTTTGTGTTCAAAACGAGGGACTGATCGTGTTGTGAACCGATTTTTGGTGGAGATGGACGGTTTGCAAGAGTTGAATGATGTGATTGTCGAACAGGACTTCTCTACTCTATACCAATTAGAGTTTGTATCTAACCTTTTTTGCTCTATGTGCTTTTCAAGGATTGAGGCAGTGGAGCTTTCACTGTGGACACGCGAGCCTCTTCATCGGGAAGAGGTATTCGGACATGGTGGCCAAGCCGTCCTGGACGAAGGAAAGCCTTCTCACGCTTAAGAGGCTTTTGGCAGCTGGAGTTGATCTGGCCAAGCTCGCAAAATCAGCTCAGCTCGAAGGCTTGAGCGGGAGTCATCTCTCCGAGCTCGTGAGTTCCCCGGTTTTGCTTCTTGGAAGTTGATGGGAAAACTCCTGTGTGTTTCTTTCAGGTTGAGCACTGCTGAAATCTGCCAGCGTCACTTCGAGACGGCGCGCGAGAAATTGGGGAAGCGTTTAGCCAGAGTTGCAAGCGTCGATAACAATCGAAGGTGTTCCAATGCGTGACGGCTCTATGACAAATTTGCGTGCCTATTGCCAAGTCACGAAATTTTGTTCGTCCACTGAAAGATGGAAGCAATAAACAATTAACCTTAAGAGTCGAGACATAGATATAAGCCACCTGGAAAGTTTCCTGTGTAGAAAAAGGATACAATCTCATTGCGAAGATTTGTAGGCCCGTAGATCGAATCCCAGCCGATTCTCGGTATTTCTTCTCAGAAGGCACCCTTTGAAGCGCGCCTCCTGGACAAAACAGAGATTTTGCCTCGTCTCGATCAAAATCTGCCAGATTTACCATGAAATCTTCCAGATCGGCCCCATGGACCCCTTGGCGGAGGCTTCCCCCATGCGCTTCCAAATTGTTCCTATCTATAGCGCGCAAACCTGCCGAGTCGTTGCACAGCTTCTTGAGCTCTTCCGCATTGTAGCCCGCGGTGGCGATCACTGCCGCATCGACGCTGAAACCCGGCGAAATCCCCTCATCGGCTGCACGATCAGCGCCTCGATCGCTTGCCTCCTCGCCTTGGCGGAGAGAAGGGATTGTAGGGCAAACTTTTGCGCGGGAACACAACGAATAAACTGGTGCCGCGTGGAAGATTTTAAGAGATAGAGTTAAGATTAAATTCTAGCTCTCGTGTCGCATCATTGACGGATTCCCATCTCATGGATATTCTAGCGACGACTTTGCGCCATGCGAGGCACTTCATCTGCTAGAGCATTCCGATCCGGAATAGCGCCCGTGCGTTTTTCTCGTGGATATACGGTGCCCGATCAACAATGACGTGGACAGTAAGTGTTAATTTACTCCAAATGTAAGACCGACGATTTTGAAAGAAAGCCTTTGAAGCTATGCCGCAATGAAGCTTGCTGTTCCATCGCTAGGGTTCTCATCCTCTAGGGCTTGGGGCGAGGCCTGTGGCAGCGGCGGGGAGCCGCGGATCTCTGGGAAGGTAAGATCTCACCGCGGGAGCGGCGCCTTCGGGAATCTCTTTCTGCCAGAGCTAGATTTTTCATTCTCTTGATTGAAATTTGGATTTCCAGGATCGAGGAGAGCGTCCAGGAATGCGGCTGTAATTCGCTCGACCATGCTGTTGCTGCCGTGTATCGACCGGTAGCGTGTTTCGTCCGCACGGATTTCGCCCAAATTTCGCTCCACTGCGAATCAAGGATGGATGCATGGTCTACTCTCTCAATTTTGCTACTGCTGCTGCTAGTAGCGCCAGACGTGCATGGAAAATTCCTGGTGGAGAAGAACAGTCTCAGCGTGACCTCGCCAGATTCGCTCAAAGGCACGTACGATAGCGCTATTGGGAATTTTGGTGTTCCACAGTATGGTGGGACTATGGTTGGAACTGTGACTTATCCGAAGGATTCGAGGATGGCATGCAAACCGTACAGTGATTCCGATACTTTCAGGAGGAAATCCGGTGGGCTTCCCAACGTGGTGCTTGTCGATCGAGGAGGTGAGCTCACGATTCTTTGCTCACTTCTACTAAATTTTTCTCTCCAGATTGTTACTTCGCTTTGAAGGTTTGGAACGCACAAAACGCTGGAGCGGCTGCTGTACTGGTTGCGGATGATAGAACCGAGCCTCTGATCACCATGGACTCTCCAGAGGAGGACTCTGCGGCGTCCGAGTACGTGGAAAACATCACGATCCCTTCGGCTTTGATCGAGAAAAGTTTCGCGGATAAGCTCAAGAGGGCTCTCTCGGACAACGAGATGGTGAACATCAACCTTGACTGGAGGGAGTCGCTTCCACATCCGGACGACAGGGTGGAATACGAGTTCTGGACCAATAGCAACGACGAGTGCGGACCGAAGTGTGATGCACAGAAGGAATTCGTGAAGAACTACAAGGGAGCAGCACAGATTCTTGAGCGAGGTGGCTACACACTTTTCACTCCTCACTACATTACCTGGTACTGTCCTCAAGCGTTCATCTTGAGTAAACAGTGCAAGTCCCAGTGCATCAATCATGGACGATACTGCGCGCCGGATCCAGAACAAGACTTTAACCGGGGCTACGATGGAAAAGATGTAGTGGTAGAGAATCTCAGGCAGCTCTGCGTTTTCAAGGTTGCTACCGAGGAGAGGAAACCATGGGTATGGTGGGACTACGTTACTGATTTCCAGATCCGGTGTCCTATGAAGGAGATGAAGTACAATGAGGCTTGCGCGGAGGACGTTCTCAAGGCTTTGGGTAAGAACCTGCTTGTCTTCACTTATTTCACTGAAAACTGTTTCTAATGTTGGCCTCTTCTAGATATTCCTGTGCACAAGGTGCGCGACTGTATGGGGAATCCAAACGACGACAAGGATAATGCTGTTCTGAAATCCGAGCAAGACGCTCAGGTTTGTGGTGTCTAATAGGCATAATTTTCTCTTACATTCGAAGCACAGGTGGGACATGGCAGCCGTGGTGACGTTACCATTTTGCCAACACTAATAGTGAATAACAGGCAGTATAGAGGTATCACTAGAGTCCTTGGAGAGTCTTACTGATATATCTTTGGTGCAGGCAAGCTGGATAAAGCCGCGGTGCTGAAAGCTATTTGTTCGGGTTTCCAAGAAACTACAGAGCCAGCCGTCTGTTTGAGTGAAGGTAGATTCCGATCATTCAAGGACTCTTCCGTTGAAGCTTTTTTCAGATATGCAAACAAACGAATGCCTTACGAACAATGGGGGATGCTGGCAGGACAAGAGCGCGAACGTCACCGCATGTAAAGTAAGTTATCAGATTTTATTCTTGTTTGCAGTCAGCTTTTTCGTCTTTGCAGGATACTTTCCGTGGAAGAGTGTGCGAGTGTCCCATTGTGCAAGGCGTGCAGTACAGCGGAGATGGATACAGTCACTGTGAAGGTACTTGTGAAATCTATCTTCTCTGTGATAGTTCTAATGTCCTGCGTTGTTTAGCTCTCGGACCTGGGAGATGCAAACTTAATAATGGAGGATGCTGGCAGCATACTCGAAACGGTGTAACTCATACAGCATGCTCGGTAAGAAAATTATCTAGCAGGACTCTTTACAAACAAAGTTTACGCATGCAGGATAGACAATTGAAAGGATGCCAGTGCCCCTCCGGTTTCAAGGGAGACGGTTTTAACACTTGCGAAGGTGAGCACAAACCAAAAAGCTTTCAACGTTCTTATATAAGTTCCCGTGATTCTCTCCCCAGACATCGATGAATGTCGTGAGCGCGTCGCCTGCCAGTGCCCGGATTGTACTTGCAAGAACACTTACGGTAGCTATGACTGCTCCTGCAGCGGTGATCTTCTTTACATGCGAGAACACGATACTTGCATAAGTAAGTTCCTTGGGATGTTTCCACAGGCTTGATTTTATTGGTTTCTTTCGCTTTCCAGGCAAGAAAGGCTCCACCGCGAAAGTTGGCTGGGTTGTCATCTTCACTGTTCTTGGTGGACTCTCAGCTGCCGCTATCGCTGGCTACGTTGTTTACAAATACAGGCTCCGGGTAATATCAATTCGTGCTCGCTTGATCCAGCAAAACTTAACGTTCTCTACTGGAAACTTTTCCTGTAGTCTTACATGGATTCGGAGATTAGAGCTATCATGGCACAGTACATGCCGCTCGACAGCCAAAACGACGTGCATCACCACTTGCAAGAGGATGCTTGATTGTATATGTAACTATCAATGTTGTTACAACAGGACAGGTAAATGCATCGTTTTTCTTACTCGAGAAATCTCTGGTCTTATTGTGCTATGCGATCTTTCAATCCTGTTCATCGGCCTCTTCTTGAGATCGAAGAAAGAGGTTGAGCTTCGATTTAAAGTTTGCCGGGACTCTCACAGGCTTGTAGTTCCTATCCAGGCAAACAGCGGTGGCCTTGGCCTCCAAAACTGCCTGTGAAAGAAAGGAGAAGATTTTAGTTCCTGGAGACTTCACGGGACAAGAATCACCTCTTGGTTTGGAAGCTTGTAGATGGTTTGCTCGAAGAAGATCCTAGCGGCCGACGAGCTGCTGATCCTGGCAGTGACCACAAAGTCCTCACCGCTCTGGCTGTCTCGAGCGAATCAAAACTCTTGCAATCACAGTTTGCAAGAGAAGTTTGCACGTACTCGTAAAGGAGAGAGGAACTTCATCGAGAGATCCGACAGCGCAAGCGCCTCGCCAGTTCTAGCGATGGAGTCTGCGTTGATTCCCATCTCCTCGAAGAGCTCGTGCCGTGCTAGAAAAAAAAAAAGAAAAGCTCGAGCTTGTTTGGAGCGCTCTAGAGAAACTTAGAATCGTTTACCGTGCTGGCAGTAGCTCGCATAGATCGCGTTATTGACGACTCCATACTGATCTAGCTCATAGTCCCGGACTTTGAGCTTCACTTCGTAAGGCTTTCTCATACTGAAAGAAAAAGTCACGAGTCAGTCCTTCGGAAAATCCGCATGCAATGAGCAATAGAAACCACGAAATCTAAGAAGAAAAGCATGGAGTTTAGCTCCACAAAATCACTCGAGCGACGGACTCTGGGGATTCACGCCGCCGCTCAGCGCGAGGAGCACGGATCTTGCATTCGTTTCTACACTCCTGATGACAATATCTCATCGGCAGGAGCTCTAGCCAATGCGATGGCGGAATCTCAAAATCCCAAGGGGCAAAGCTCTCACCTGAGCGATCCGAGCGTCTGGAGACCATCGACAAAGCTGGACCTCACGGCAATCGATCTGGCGCAGCGCCGCGGCACGAATCCAGAGAAGCCGGGCAAGGCTCTCGCTGGAGGAAGAGCCTCCATTTTTTTGGCATAAACCCTAAGTTCGTGATATTTAAACGATCGCTTGCCACGTGGATAACGGGTTTCCGGCAGCCGTCGATTCCTCCTATTTGATATCATTTCACGAACTTAGGGCTCCATGGCTTGTGGCTCGGAATTGTGAGATCATCGCTGCGCAATCGGATCTCCAGGTCTGCAAGCTCAATCTGTGATTGAATCGCGCCACGCGCAACCACAAGCTGATTGGAGATCCTGCGATTCTTTTCTTGCAGCGATCGAGCGCAATCGACAATGCTTCCCTATTCCACCGCCGCCGAGGCCCAGGCGGCGCTGGGGCGGCCGCTAACGTTCCTGGAGACGCTGTGGCTCCAGCACACGGCCAATCGCAGCGATTATTTTCTCTACTGCCTCAACATCGTTTATCTCTTTGTAAACTTCACTGTTCTTCCACTCCCCACGGTCATCCTCGACGTTCTCAAGGTGAGAGCCTTCGAGCGATTCAAGCTCCAGCCGGGCGTCCACACTACGATCAGCGACGCTCTTCGCTGCTACAAGAGCGTGATTTGGTCCTTTTGCACGGTGGTCGGGCCTCTCCAGCTCCTCTCTTATCCCATGGTTAAGGTAAGTTTTTTTCTCGTTCTTCCATCTGGTTTGTTCTTCCGGGTTCTTAATTCTTTCGTGGTGGATGCACAGCACAGATGCTGGGATTCCGGACGAGCCTTCCACTGCCGTCTTGCGGGGAGATTGTCAGCCAGCTCGCGGTGTATTTTTTGATCGAGGACTATGGGAACTACTGGATCCATCGCTGGCTCCACTGCGGCTGGGGATACAAGAACATCCACTACTTGCACCATGAGTTCACGGCGCCGATGAGCTTCGCGGCCCCGTATGCTCACTGGGCCGAGATTCTGGTTTTGGGAATTCCATCTTTTGTAGGTCCGGCTCTAGTTCCTGGTCATATGGTTACTCTATGGCTCTGGATTGCGTTGCGACATATCGAGGCTATGGAAACTCACAGCGGGTAATGGAGAAAGATCTAAAGAAGTTCCTTTTGTCTCAAGATGATCGATCGTTTTTGACACAGGTACGATTTCCCGTGGAGCTTCACGAAGTTCATTCCTTTCTACGGCGGAGCCGAGTATCACGACTACCACCATTTTGTTGGAGGCAAGAGCCAGAGTAACTTTGCGTCGGTTTTCACGTACTGCGACTACTTGTATGGCACGGACAAGGTATGGATCATGCAAGTCTCTAGTTTTTCCTGGCGCTTACGTTGGTTCCAACAGGGATATCGATACCAGAAGAGCCTGATGAAGGTAAAGAGTTCTCTCTCTCTCTCTCTCTCTCTCTGATGATGATGATGATGATCTCTCATCGCTCTATACTTCGATGTTCCTCGCAGATCACGAAGAACAAACTTGGCGAAGAAACCAGCGGCTGGGTCGGCGATAGCGGTGATAAGAAGTCCAGTTAGAAGTGAAGGCACTGTGCGCATAAAAAGGAATATACGCTTTGTAGAATATGCTTGGCGAATATGCCTGTATAGAACATGCCTGGCGAATATACTTTTTACATTTAAAATTGGGCCAACGGTCACTCGGCACGCGAGAGCAATGCTATTCACGATGGCCCAAATTTTCTTTTCTCTTCCAAAATCGATGGCGTTCTCCCTCCCTGGCAGCTGGCGGATTTCGGCCACTGTCCCAAATAGGGTGTGAAATCAAGGCAATGCATGATCATCCATGGTCGTGGACCCCTCGCTTTTCCTTGGCAGCCCTAATTCTTGGCTTCTTCACAAGGGCGGGGTCCCTCTAGGGTTTTAGTCTTGGCGCAAGCATTGGCGGCCACGAAGCGCGCGATCGATCTACCCCGCGCGTGCTCGGAGGTACAATCCCTATTTCTTCTCGAAATATGCGAGCTGGATCGCTTGGATTCTTCAGCCTGCCGCTCTTCTCCTTCTCGCCGCCGCCGCCGTAGCGCTCTCTTCCCTTTTCGGCTCCCTTTCTCTATATTTCGGTCATCCCGGCAGCGATCTTCTTCCCTTTTCTGGTCCTTTCCTTTTCTTCGATCATGCGGAGGATCTTCCCGGGAAAGAATTCGGCAAAGGATGATAGGATTCTCCCCGGCAGAAAGGATGATCTCGCCAGGGTCAAGCAGCCAATGAGGAAGGAGAGGTCTCCCGCCGCCTCGGCTGCCAACGCCGCCGCCGCCGCCGCCGCTCTGTCGGCCCCGGATAGCAAGAACCAAGAAAGCCTGAGGCGGTCGTCAATCAGCGATCGAAACCGGCGCACGCATTGGTGCCCGTCGTGCCCGTCGGGTCCATCGGAGGAGGCAGAGAGGTGTGACACTCCTCCCAGCGGCGATGAGAACGTTTCATTCACGAGGGATGGTCCCAGCTCCGAGGAAGCCATGTCCCAGTTCCGGCTTGGGCTGCCAGAGGAGTGCCAGGACAAGCAGATTCTGCGGCCATCTATCAACGCGGCTCCTTCGCCCGAGCCGTGCGAGTGGACGAGTGGCTTACAGGCGGCTCTGGATCAGCTGGTCGTGGAGAGCAGGCAAGAGCTGCGATCAAAGTACGTGAGCGAGCCCCCGAGCCCGGCAACATCGCCTCCTTCGATTGCTATGCTGGAGAACTTGTCCTCTACGTCGTCGGATGTATCGCAGTCGGTGGACTTGGTGTCGCACTCGGTGGACTTACCCAGGCCGAAGTTCTCGAGATCGCTTTCTCGTTCCTCCAACGACGGCGCGTCGATCATGTCGAATCCTCGGTCGCACTCCTTCAGCGATTGGTCGTCCAGAGGTACCGTGGTTACGACCACCAGTGACAAGGCTCAGGTGAGGTATCTCAGCGCTCGAGCTGTGGCCGAGAGGCTGGCCAAGGCGATCCGGGGGAACACTTCCAAGACGAAGGAGCTTTCAAAGCGTTTGCTCCCGCCAGTTCCTCAGACTCCACCTCGGAGTTCCGAGTCCATCGCCAGTCACAGCGCGAGCAAAGGTGGTGGTGGTGGAAACGGGAAGCAGATCATCGAGGGCCTCCAGCAGAGCTTGAGTGACATGACGCACGCCTTGAACACGCAAAACAGCCGGATCCAGCGGCTGACTGGCAGAAACGAGGAGCTTTTCAGGCTCTACCGTGGGAAGGAGAAGGAGCTGACGGAGCTGCAAACTAGAGTGAAAGACGAGGACGCCCGAAAGCGGGCAAGGGAGGAGGAACTTAAGCAGGTAAGCAACAGCGGTCTTGGAGTTTTTTCTTTCCTTTCTAACATCTTTGCACAGGTCAAGGACAAGCTCAAGTACGTCCAGGAGAAATTCCACGCGCAAAGCAGCGCCCAGAGCGAAGCGTCTCGCTTGCGAAGGCTGCTGGAGAGTGCCACGGACAGGATCTCCGAGCTGGAGCTCCAGGTAACGAATCAATCCATGTTGTGGGATGTGATTCTTACAAAACTGCCTTTGCTCCAGGTGAAAGAGAGGGGTCAGAAGGTGGGATCGCTGGAGGTGGAGCTCAGGCACGCGCTGCAAGAGTTGAATCGGTACAGGGAGGAGATGCCGCGGGTGATCCGGCAGCGCGAGGGGATGAAAAGGGAGGCCGAGCAGCTGGGGCACGAAGCGCTCCGGATGAGCGCCGAGGCGGAGGTGTTGAAGCGGAGGGTCCACGAACTGGAGGAGGAAGTGATGATCCGAGATGGCCACCTCTCCATCCTCAGGAATAGTCTCAATAACAACTACGACTGCTAACTTGTAATTAGCACAGCGTGAATAATCTAGCATAGATTTCCAGTTTGCAGTTCATTGCTAACTCACGGATTGTTTCTATCGGATTGAGCAAACCGGTGGAAGTTCATTCCTCTCAGATCCTTTTTTAAAGATTATGCTCGCCGGGGTTTGGAAAATTTTGTAACTTGCTCAAGCTTATCATTTTCAGGCATTTTTCCAGGAGAATGACTGGCACCTTTTCTACTCGTCACAGTGTACCTACAAGAGTTTCACTGATTTGCTTGACAACAGCAATAATTCTTTGTTCATGTGTTCAGGGAAGATTTTATAGATCATCACGCTGCTGAGATCGTCGACAGCGGCCTGGACGATCTCTTGCTGGGGTGTCGAGCCTGACGCCTTGATGATCCATCCAGTGGTAGGCCGTTGTCGACGATCATAATGCTCCACGAGAAAACGTTTGGAGATTCCATCCTCTCGACAGATGGACTCCTCAATCTCAGGGTCAAGCCGCAGACCTGGTGGATGATGAAGCTCTCCGATTCCCTCCACGTTCTTGGCTTGTAGTCTACTTGCATGTCTTAAGTTTCTTGGCTCCCTTTCATTTGTGATCGAGTTAGAGCTGGATTGGCAACTTGATCCTCCAGATCGAACGATAACTTCCATGGCTTTCCTGGGAGCAAAGGCAGCGGCATGGACAAGCGCTTCTCCTCCTCGCAGCTTGCGTAGCTAAGATGCTACTGGGGCCAGTTCGAAGGGAGTGCGAGCAAGAGGGACTTGTATTCGCCCAAGTCCAAGATGGCTTGTGTTGTCCCCTAAAGCCTCCCCATTTCCATCTCACCCGGGCGCGCGAGGCAAGATAGCGAGAACAAGGTAAATCACGGTTTACTGGTGAATCCAAACCCGTTAGTGTTTTTAACATGTTTAAAAGAAGCATCTTTTTGTATATTCTTTCACTGGAGAACAAACAAGCAGCAGCAGCAGCAACAAGGACATAAAGTCTTACGCTTCTTGATGGGCACCACAAGACTATAAACATCGGCATGGTCTGTTGAGTAGAGGCCCTTGCAGATGAATCCATTTGTAACATTTGGCTTCACGTCGTGATCATCGACTTCTTGCTTGATCACGTCTTCTTGTTCTTCATCATCACCCATCTCTTCCTCGCCAGGAGCTTGTGCTTGGAGGAGGGAAGAAGGTCTTGGCGCGGGCTGCGCGGTCTCTCGGAAATGCTTTGATGGATCATCTCGGCTGGCGCTCTTCATCCGCTTCTCTTCTTCTTCTTTTTCTTCTACTTCCTTTACCTCTTCTGGTGCCTCTTCATGCGTCTTTAGCACACTCCAAGCAGCAGCATGCATCGCCCGGCCAGCGCTCTCTCGCGGAACTGCATTTGATCGAGAAAGTCGCGGCTTTGGTGGAGGCGGAGGTGTGAGGAGTCTCTCGCAGGGACACCTATCGCTCGGCCGGCGCTAGCTGTGGAATTTCTTGCTGCCGCTCTCTTCCGAAGCATTCCTGGCCGGCGCTTGGAGAAAAGGCCCCGATTTGGTAGAGGCGGAGGTGCCAGGAGTCTTCGATCGCCCGCTGGAGAAAGGCGTAGAGCCTTGGTAGAGGCTTAGGCCGGGACACCGATCGCCCGGCCAGCGCTAGCGGAGTAGCTTGGTAGAGGCGGAGGTATCGCCCGGCCGGCGCTGGCTGCACAAGATCTCATCGAGACGGATATGAAATTCAACGCCCGGAGTTCATCAATTTTATAAAGAAACTCGCTCGTGTATCACCCAGGAAATGGATCGCTCTTGTGCAGATGGTTACACAGATGTTTGAGGTCATAAAAAACGAGCCGGGTGGTGGACGTAGGCAGAAATCACTGCTCCACAACCTTTTGATCTCTTTCGCTGACGGTGGATATAAACGGAAGGGTCTCGTTTTGCAAGGCCGAGTCCGCTGGCTCAGTTCTTCTTAGTGACTCGTCGTGATTCGGCCACCCCAGCAAGTCTCGGACAACATCCGACCAGGCAAACTCGAGAGCCTCGCTTGTCAATCGTACTCCAAGGTCGCTGCTCCAGAGGGAAGTTTCTGTCGATCTCCACAGATTTGGGGATGATCATGTCAGCCAGGATGAGAGCAGTGGTCTGAGGCTGGTGATGGCGTGCTCGCGTTCGTTGCAAGGCTGAGTCCGCTTGCTGGGACTGCCGGAAGAATTTAGTCCCTTGATTGCTAACGCGGTGAGATCAACCTCTAGATTTCTTTTCTTCTTCCTAACGCACATCGTGTTTTTTTATTATTGACGAAGCCCAGGAAAGGTGGTGGCCCTTCGCATAAAGCACACTGTAGGCGGTATCAATCTCCTGCAAGTAACAGGAGCCTCTCATTCGACCTTTGGCTTGTTCGTTCTCTAAAAGTTTTTCTCGGGGCAGAGTGGATGGCGCAGAAACGAGCCTGAGGTTTGATTGAATTCTTTGGCTTGTTCATAGCTCTGCTCATTGTTGTCGCTGTTTCTAGAGCCGACGCCTACAGCAGTGTGATTTTATGGGAGGTTGCCACGGAACTAGTTCCTTGTAGGGACGGAATGAATCCAATGCAAGTAAGCTCTTCTAGCACGAGGAGTCCTGCAAGCCGGATGATCTGCGACCGAAGCGATTGCCTCCAAAGATCTCCAGCTGGTCGCAAGTCTGGTGGAACTCCTCTTCGACTAAGTTGCAGCATGGACAATGACGCATGGGCGATGCAAGACGACGGAACAGTGTGACTTTCAATTCCTTCCATCAGCGTTCTGGATCTTAAACTGTGGACAAGCAAGTTAGTAGGACATGAAATTTACCTCAAGAGCAGTGAATTTTGGTAGAGCATTTGGACTCTTTCATGGAATGGACTCTTTCAATTCCTCGTTAAATCACAAGAGCCTGTGATTAAATTCCTGGTGTTAGATACCCGTTTGCCCAGCATCTCCTATTGTGCAGCTTGCTGAAGAACAGCTTTCTCTACTACAACTCCATCCATCATAAGTGGCACCCGGTCGCTACTATTCTGCTTCTAGAAACCCGACCGCCAAGAGAAAGATCTGGCACCCGTCCTATGGTCTTCGTCTATCCGCGTCTATGGAATCAAATACGCAGGCTCCTGGATGCTGGAAAAGAAAAAATAATAGAGAAGAGAACAAAGCAAATGGTTTCTGAAAGATCTTACAAGGTGTTTTGGAGCCGAGCTCACGACTTCCGATGGAAGGTCTGGTCCCGATCCAGAAAGCCTCGTCACACGGGCTTGGCAAGGGCTCGGGTTCTATCCATCTCCATCGCCAGCGTCTTGGAGCCCGGATTCGTCCTTCTAGAGCTCGTTCCAGGTGAATCCATCCCCGCATTGCAGGCATGGGGTGCCCGCTAGCGATGGCAGAGTAGCGGATCGGGAAAATTTCGTGTTCTTCCGGGGGAATTCGAGGTAACAGGCTCTTCCGGCACTTGCGGAGAGGAATTCCGGGGAAATGCAGCTATAGGAGGAGGCTGCAATGAGGAAGGCGATGAGCAGGGCGCGAAAGAAGGGATCCGCGCCCTTGGAACTGAGCAGGTATGTGGCAATGCAGGTAGATATCGATTCTTTTCTCATGAACTCTTCTTGATCCAGGGATATGTATGGATTCATCTTGAGGCCACACCATTTGCAAAGGTACCGGGAGTTCACATCAATTTACAAGGTGCTTTGTAGTTTTAACGCGTTTTTCTGTTCGTTCTTCGTTTACTCTTTCAAAGTTTCTCACCCTGGCGAGTTGTGTAGGAAGAAGAAGCGGAGCATTTCTTGAGAACTTACGGTGATGCTGAGGATTTTTCAGCCCCCGTAGGAGCTGAAAAAGGCCATCTCTCAACATTCAACCAAACCACGAGTAAATGATGACGCTTAAGACCGATAGCGTCATAGGAAGCATCTTGAGGCCACAGGATTTGCAAAGATATCGCCCAAGCAGACGCGTTGGCTTATGGCAAGGTCAGTGAGAAATCTCTCTACGATCTAAATTTCTGTCTTCAAACCCTCCAGGAACTTCGAGCGGAAGGATTATTTGATCCCTCACAAGGTAAGTTCTTGTTCTTCTTTCCTTGGAGCTCCACAATTACCATGTTCTTACAGACTTTCACCGGAAATCGTCCATCCCTGAGCATGCAAGTCACCACGACGTGGTGCTGTGGAACTCTATCATACATGGCTACGCACAGAGCGGTGACGGCGAGCAAGCTCAACTCCTTGGTGTGGAACTCGGCGGAAGGTACACACTTGGCCTTCCCCGTGTTAGGACACCGATGAACGCGCGAACGAAGACCACAACGCTGCTCAAAGGTGAGGACCTGGAAAGAGAGCATGACACATAACTTTGTCTTGAGTGTATCTTCAGGGGAAAACCCAGCTACTTCACCCTGTATTTCCTGGGCCTGGAGTCTCCCGTGGCTCTCGAGGACGAGGCAAAATCAGATGAAGCAGTGCAAGATTTCTGCTGATCGCTGAGTCATCAAGGACCTGAGTGTTTAGAAAATAAAGAGGTTTTGTTTCTCCATCACTAACTCCGCGTTGGAGCAAACTGAAAGCTGTCCATTTCTTGTGCTTACATGGATTGTCTAGTGATCTCCTGGAAAGAGCAAGAGCAAAGAACATAAAAATAAGCGATTTTTACACTTACAGGGATTTTTTATCCACATCCTTAGAATGTTACAGCAGGTATGATCGCTCTGGAATTCAAGTAACCGTCTTCCACACAAAAACATTCAAGTTTTTAAGCAAGCTTCTTTCCCGAGCAAAAATATCGCCGCCTTTCGGAAACCCAAAACCAAGTGAATGAGATATCTAATCAACCGACAGAAAGATCACAGGTAAAATTAGAAACGTAAGTGCTAATGGAAGAAACTAAAAGACGAGGACGACTCAGAACACATTTGGAGGCAATCTAGAGTAGACCTCCTGGTACCGAAGGAACTCAATCTTGATCCAGTAGAGATCAACCGTGAAGTGGTCTCCACAGTAGCTGAGAATGGCCTCCAAATCTCCGGCACCCCCAAGCACCTTGGCGGTGTCAAGCTCGATCTGGTAGCCCGGAATGCCCGGTCGATCACAGTCGACACCGCCATGCCCAACCCCGCTGAGCAAAATCCCCTGCTCTTCAACCAGCCACGCGACAGTCACGGGATGAAGCGCCTCCTCC